GATGCTGGGACGTAGTGATCCCTATTCATAAACAATTTGTAGGATTTTGATACTTAAGCTTTCTACGACTCTAAATTTCATTTTAATTAAGTGTAGGACCAGCAATTAGCTCCGGTATTGTAGTTGAAAAAACGAAAGAGCAAGATCCATGATTATTAATTAATATCAGGAAGAATTAGTCTATGTTAAGGGTCATTTTGTATTAAAAGTTTGAGAATTTTTATGAATTCTTAAGTTAAATTAAGTTTATTATGAGAAGACTAAAGAAAATGAATTTTATGAAGAAAATGTTTTATGGGCACTCTAGTTATGATAACTTGGATAGAGTTGATATATTGATGCAATGATTTGATTTATTATGTATGAAGAGCATGCTCGGTCATTTGATGCAATGTAATATGAATAAGAAAGCCTAGATGGAAGCAAGTATAGGCGTAAGACACGGGGTGTACTTATATGTTAGGTGCGAGAGACAAGAAGGCAGGCTGACGTGAGATGTTGAAATGAAAATAAGAGTGTTGGCGAACCTAAAGAGCCAGATTATGAATAAAGAGGCTATGAAAACATTATCTAGCCTTGGTCTTTTCTATCTAAGTGTAGTTATTAGGAGAGTGAGATAGAGGGGAATATGAAGTACCCTGATACACAAATATTAGTTTTAAGGATAGTGAAATAAAATGAGTGATACTACACATTAATGATTAATAATAACTCCTTAAAGTGATGACCACAACTTATTTGTAAGTGATATACAAGAATGAATATTCTAAGAAGACATAGATGTAGTTATTGGTGTGCATATGTTACTGCATGTCAAATTTAATGATTTTATGTATATAAAGATTGTTTTAAGTTAGGTGTTGTCATCACATACATTGGGTTGTTGTTTGTGTATTTGTATGAGCAACCACTAGAGTTTTATAAATACTACAGCGCGTTGATTTTATCAGCGCAGGTTTGGAGATTGTGCTTGCTGCTTAAAGACTCTGAAGAGTAGCATCAGAGTTGAATGAGATATTGTATGGTAGTATGAGTGAGTATTTAAATGAACTAAAAAATTTAAATGGCATGTAGTAAAGGAGATATTGAACATTTTGAGACTGCATTATTTTCATTTTATAACTTAAGCATGTTATATAGAGGTAAAATATTTTTGGGTGTGATAATATATGGTTGGTGGAGAGTAGGGACGGTTGGACTGTATTTAATGGGTATAGAAGAGAACATTAGAAGTTGATATATTAAATAGAATGTAATTGAAGTGATGACTATTATCGATGTGTTTATTGAGAATCTATGGAGTTATGAAAATTATAGAGGATAGCTGATTTGTGTTGTTATTGGAGTTTGGAAATTTGGGAGTGCTTTTTTGATTGCATATGTTAATACGCAACCTCTATTTTTAGGAGATGAAACTTCTTTGGGACACAGTTATTTCTTGATAAGAGTATTCTCCGCAACATCAATTAATTCAAAACAAGAAACTATTACTTGCTTAAACTTTGTGAATACAAGAATAAAGTTCACATAATCTAAATATCATAATAGATTGAGTGTTTTGATTTATAGAATAAGGATGAATTATAGGGGACGGGTGCCTACCGGAGCACAGGAGATGAAAGAATGATGCATCCACATCGTCGGATTTGTCGGGATCGGCGGCGGGTGTTACAAATAAGAGATATTTGATATATAGGAGCATTAGGGATTTATACTTGGAATGCAATACATATGTTATAACCATGCTAAAAACAGTATTTAGCATGGAAGGAGATCCAAAGAAGAAATAACCTAACCTATATAATCAATCTGATCAGGGAGACCAACTGGATACTAGTTAAAATTTTCTTAAGGTATTTAAAAAAAAAAATTAAGCATAATATGATTGTTTGATTTATATGTAGGTTAGGACGGTGCCTCCGGCACCGAATGTGGCATCCACCGTCGGATCTTTCGGGATCGGGCGGCGGGTGTTACAATAAGGATATATTCGATAGACTATTAGGATTATCTGAATCTACATATGTTAATAACATGCTAAAACAGTTTAGCATGGAGGAATCCAAAAGAGAATACCTACCTATATATCAATCTGATCCGGATGAAAGTCACTGGATTACTGTTAAAATTTTCCTTAAGTATTTAAAAAAAATTAAGGATACTTTTTGGTTTATGGAGAAACTAATAAACTAAGAGTTCATAGATACACTGATATCATAGGATTAAACACATGGATAATTGGCTTTAGTGCAAGTGGGAGATTGTAAGTTATATGCCTATTGTCAATTTGATTGGTTATATTTTGGATTTAATATTTCATATAATAAATAATTTATTATTAATAAAAGGCATTTATTTATCTTTCATATCCTATTTATTGAATCTCGGTAAAAGATAAATTCCATGAGACAATATTGATTTGTAAAGTAAATTATAATGTCATTATAATTATGAGTTTTATTTTGCATTAAAGCAATGTCTCTAAATATTTCTGGTCAGTGTTCTCCTTATTATTGGATGATGATTAGAACTGTTGAGACTGATACATGTTATATTCTTTCCTTACGAAAGTAGTGTTCTCATAAGCTGAGATATATATGATATTTAAAACTAATATATAGGTGCTTGTTATTAGAATAAGTCCACTGAATTGACCTGCATGAGAATTCCATATGGAGAGTTATCTACGTCTATGGAATACTCAAATGATGGTTATGTTTTGATTCTTCGTTCACATTATTCATTCATGAGTAATAAGCAATGATTAATTGGACATAGTAGGAACTGTATGGAGATACTTGTGTAATTAAGAGATGATTCATCATCCTAGCTAAATCAAAGAAAATGTTCTAATTGTTCTCTATTAGTATTGATTTAGAAATCTTTGTGCAAGGTAGAATGAAATTAACAAATTAGATTTGAAATTTCATTCAAATGATCAATGGCTAAGATTAAGAGAATTAACATGCTTTAGTAAAGTAGACACACTTCATGCCTCATTACGAAATCAAAACATTAATGATGAAAGGATATTAATTATACTGATAAATCATGCACTGAAAGATTAAGTCAAACCACTGACTTTCTAAATATTTGGGTAGTAATGACATATTGCTAGACAAGGTACTTGACCTTTAAATATTAATTAATTGATTAATTTATATTTGTCGCAACATATTTGTAACCTATAAGGTTACATACATAAGAATGAGTATGAGAAAGTGAAAACGAGAAATCGAATCAAGTATAACTTGATCACAAATAAGTCTTGGGACATTAAGGGCAAAATTGTAATTTATATTTAATTATAATTTTACCTAAATTATTAAGTATTGACTTAATTGATTTATGTCTAAAATTTATATTGTATATATATATATTATATAGTTATAAAATTAGATTTAAGATAAGAAGTTTAGATATTAAATAGAGAACACTAAATAGTTTAATATATAGTATTATCTTAAATAGTTAAATGTAAAATACATAAATTGCTTATAAGATTGAGAAAAATCCTATACTAATATGGTATTATCAAATTTATTTAATTGAAATGTTTAAATAAATAATAGGCCACATATGTAATTTATTATAATAATTTGTTTATAAAACATTATAGAAATATAGTAAATAGATTTAATGACCTTAAAAGAGTGAATAGATTTTATACATCGATATCAAGATATTATAAGAGACCAGTCGTGTTAATATGCTCCACAAAACTAAAATAATAGAGCGTACAATAGTTGGATAGGTTTCAGATTGGTACCAGTCGAGTGTGGATACGGCTATTAGAGGAGCCGACACTTGAGGACAGCTGTGAGCTATTATTAAGATCTAGTCACTAGATCGAAGTTTAATTTATATTTAATTATAATTTTACCTAAATTATTAAGTATTGACTTAATTGATTTATGTCTAAAATTTATTAAGATAAATTTTAGATTAAATAAACTAATATTTTAATTATTATTTACTTAAATAGTTAAATAAATAAACATAATTGATTAAATTGAAAATCCTATTACTATATGTATTATCATTTATTTATTGAAATTGTTTAAATAAATAATAGGCACATATGTATTTTAATTATAATTAATTTGTTTAAATAAATAATTATAATATATATATTTATGACATAAGGTTTTCATATATAAGATTTAAGAGACAGTCGTTGTTCATATCCACAAAACTAAAATATAGAGCGTAAAATAGTTGTAGAGTTTTTCGATTGTCCATTCGTGTGGATACTATTAGAGGCCGACACTTGGGCGCTGTGGTTTGCGATAATCTAGTCACGTAGATCGAAGTTTCGAAGAATATGCAAAAGAAGCATTCTTTTAAACAATTTTATTACTTTAATCGTTTAAATGAATTTCTATTGAAATAATTATTTTGTTATAATTATCTCTTTCCATTGCGTATTTGTCATATTAAAACCCAACAGCTTGGACAAGAGTCCAGTTTTGATAATCAGCTATACTGAAAGTACCCTTCTCTGTTTGACTTTTTTACATCTAAAGAATACGTCTTATATTGCAAGTTGTAGTGTTGTTGACATTATTATTTTGAAGCTATTGGCAAATGATACACTAAATAAATGATTCAAGAGCATATCTATAATTTTATCAATGATTATATTGCAATTATTTCAAAATATATAATGTCCAAATCAAAGGTTCATAATTAATAATCCCTGATATTTGCTCAGTGATTAATGTTTTCATCCCTTACTCGGACTAAGGCAAAGAATACTCTGCTTTCCTATAAATTATTGTACAAATACTTTTGAGGGACACAAAAAAAAAGTATGATTTTTATTCATCTATTCTCTGAATTATCCATTTATCATTTTTACTTCTGTAAGTAATCTTTACTAAGTGATTGGTTTAATTTTTCGTTTTTTAGGGTTTTTTTATATCATTTGCTCAGTATAGCTGTTGGTTTTTTCTCTATAATAAAATTTTTGCAGTTCTTGAAAAAAGGGGATATTCAAATAGTAACATTAAAACCACAATATTTATTACCCTATATTTCTTTTTACAAATAGATTGATTTCATTTAAGTACAACTCTAGAAGAAAGAAAGTAGACACATTTCCAGTGCTAGATTATCTAGTACTACACGATTCTTTCTATGTCACAGCATTCTAACCATACACTAAATGTATTTATATTTTTCTTGCAAGGTTTATACTAAATATATACTAGGCATTACTGGTTGGCTGAAGCTGAAGATTTCTACCTCTAACGCCCTTGCTAAATAGCAACTCCATCTCTTCCAAGGACCTTCCCTTGGTTTCTGGGAAAAGAAAATAGAAGAAAAACCAGCCAAGAACAGCAACACCAGCAAACAAGAAAAATGTTCCACCTATAGTAATTGCTTTATAGAGTGAAATGAAACTCATAGAGATTGTGGCATTCATTAGCCTATTGACAGCCACACCAATACTATACCCTTGAGCCCTCAACTTCAATGGGAAAATCTCAGAACTGTAAACCCATGTGACAGGAGCAAGCCCAATGTTGAAGAAAGCCACAAACATGTATGTAGATACAATACTAAGGCTAAGAGCCCACATGAGTTTCCCTCCATTATGGTACTCTACTATTGTCAAGAAAGATCCTAGAAGTGTCAGTGAACCTATAATCCCAGCTGTGCTTGATAGTAGCAAGCGTCTCCTCCCAACTCTGTCAAGCAAAAACGTGGCTGTTAATATACAGAGAAACTTCGTAAGCCCTATCCCAACTGTTGCAAGCAAGAGCTTTTCTTTGTCTGTAATTCCAGCTTTCTTGAAAATTCTTGGACCATAAAGAATAACTGCTTCAATTCCTACTGCATGCTCAAAGAAATGGATTCCTATTGCAGCGATTAGTATCCACCGGACGGCTGGTGTTGGATGTAATAGTAACTCTTTCCATACCTCTTCTCCATGTGTGTTTTTTGGAAGTTTGACAAATTCTTCATTGCAATTCACATCTATTCCAGCTGCAACTTTTATGTCTCTGAAACGGGCTTCAGCTTCTTCTTTAGAGTTAGATACATCAAGTAGGGCTCTCTTGGCTTCCCCTAAACGGCCTTGCATCACTAACCATCTTGGAGATTCTGGCATTTTTAGAATTCCAAAGCCTACAAGAACCGAAGGTATAGCAGCAATTCCAAGCATCATTCTCCAACCGAGTTTTAGACTCAGTTTTCCAAAAAGAACATTTGAAATATAGCCCAGTAAAATCCCAATACTGATTCCAAGCTCAGGCAAAGAGGTCAAGAAACCTCTTGATGATGGTGATGATACTTCCGCAGAGTAAACTGGAGCAACCATAAGAGCAAAGCCAACCCCAACACCAGCAGTGCATCTTCCTGTCATTAGAATAGCGTAATTCGGACCATATCCCATCAGAACTGAACCAATCATGAAAATTGTGCAGGCTACAACAATTGTGTATCGCCGGCCGATGAAATCAGAAGTTCTTCCCGCTATAAGGGAACCCACTAAAGCACATAAATTCAAAATTCCGGCAAGGACTTCCACTTGTGTATCATCGATTTTCAGGTCATCTTTTATGAATATCATAGCACCACTCATTACACCAGTATCTAGTCCAAATAAACAAATAAATAAACAAAAAGGAAACATCTATGGATGAAAAACCAAAAATGGAGAAAGAAAGAAAGAAAGAAAGAAAGAACATACCATAGCCAAATATAATGGATATCATTGAAGCAACTATTGCACATGCAGCTGCATACTTATTAAACTTCATTTGGGTGTCTTCAGCTCTTCCTTCTTCCAACGAGGCCATGATAATTTTCTATGCAGGAGTTTTTTCCTTCAAAAGTTTTTTACCTATTCCATATATATAGAGAGAGATAGATATTTGGATATGGATGGGGATATTACCGTATTAGTACATGGATACGGATAAAGATTGCATTAATGTGTATAAATATAAATCTTGAAATTGTTTAGGCAACTATACAACAGGGATATGTACAAAGCTCTCAACCTCAATGACATAATTCTGTAATTTAACCCACTAAACGATACACTTAACCCTCAATTTTTATAGCAATAGGTATAAATTTTGTATAGGACTCCTTAATAATAAAGCTTGCCTTGCCTTCTTCAAAAAGGAAGTAAAGAATTTCCAATACCAAAGTAAAAATCAAAATCACAAAGGATGCACAACAAATCAACCGAACCAACAGGTTCAATAGGCCAGCCAGGCAACCTGACCTTGTTAGGCAAGATACCACTTTATCTTTTCTTATTGAAAAAGCTCAATTTCATATAAGCACTTATAATTCTTAACAATTAGATTTAAAAATTTTCAAAAATAAATTTAAAAAAAATGATGTAAGAATGACTTAGCCAAGGTTTTCTATATCAATGACTTAAATTTACAGTTTGAAAATTAAAACTTCTTAAATTCCAGATTTAAAGTGGGAAGATAGTGTTAAGAAGAAATTAAATGTAGGTAAAAACAAGAAAAAGGAAGAAAATGATTGCCTTAGAACTAGGGAAAATATACAATCCGTTGTTATTAAAACTGCTTTTAATGGTTTTGCCACTTGCAAATCAATCCTGATCTGTTCGATTTTTACTTAATTTGGATAAGATTTGCATGCCTATGATAATCCAGCCTGTAAGGTCATCCATATTTGTCCGATCAGTAAGCCACTGACTCGGTATGTGTATGTTTGATTTTTTTTTTTTTTTTTTTGCACTTGCAAATCAAATCCTGATCTGTTCGATTTTTAACTTAATTTGGATAAGATTTCATCCTATGATTAGATCCAGCCTGTAAGGTCATCCATATTTGTCCGATCAGTAAAGCCCACTGACTCGGTATGTGTATGTTTGATTTTTTTTTTTTTTTTTTCTCTTTTCTTTTTTTTTTTTTTTTTTTCTCTTTTCCTAAAAATTACAAAAAAAAAAGATAAGGAAATAAAATAAAATGTCAACCATAATTACTTTAATCGACAGGCGTGTGCAAACCATGAATTCAGATTTTCAATTGATTGTAAATTCAATTTTTCAATAGAAAAATGTATATTAAACCCAACAAAATTGAATTGGCTTAGATCTGTTAGAATAAAATCCTATTGATTTTAGTACATCTGACTGTGATTCGAATATAATTGTGATTGTGTATCTAATTTTGATCCCTTTTTCCTTTTGTTTATACTTTTATATAAGGGTATTGTATAATGTAAATCTCATTGCAATACAATATAAATTCCTTCTTATTCAACTTGGTATCAGAATTTTTTTGGGCAATTATTTTTCCTTTTTGTAAGCTTCGGCTCTTCTCCTATGAACTTTCACGCATTCCACATCCACCTTAATATCTTCTTTCTCTTATGATATATTCATCCCATTCAACTTGTTTTAGATGATACTAATTATAATTCTTGAAAACAACAAATGCAATGGTTCATGCCTGCTTGGCTCGCTATAATGCCGCTCAGGATAACAAACGTCTCTGTCAGTTTTTGATGGGTTCACTTGATGAGTATGAAGATGGGTGTTCATCTATTCTCAATCGGAAGCCGAAAGTGAAGAACCATTCCTGGGGAGAGTAAATAAGGCGCCTTTAGGAATCGTACATCCTACTCCATCTCTTGAGACACCTCTTAATTAAATCAACTCTAAGGAGAAAAGGAAAAAGACTGTTGTCTCTCTTACTTTCCACTTGATTTTATTTATTTTCGGACTATTCTAGTTATTCCTGATTCTACATCTCTGGTTCCTGATATGAAGTGGTGTTATTATCATAAGATATCTACTCATCAGCACTTAGAATGTCACACTCTACAGAATCGCGATTGGAATAAACAGAATTCCTCTTCACGCCCAATGACTGCTGTAACGAACACTGTTCCCTCTATTGAGTCTTCTTCTTTTATTCAGATGCAACTCACTTGATATGAATTGGCAGTAATTACTCAGCTCCGTTAGTTCCAAAATGATGATGGAAGTGGTATTTCTAATTTTTCATCTCATATTTCTTCTGCCTTATCTATTACAACAAGTACCCTACATTGATTACTTGACTCTACTTATTGTAATCATATGACATCTGGTCTACTCTCTTTCTTACACAAATCACCCACTATTCTATTCCACCTATTCACATTGCTGATGACACCTTTTTGCATACTACTCACGTTGGCACTATCTCCGCATCTTCCATTTTTTTTCCTCACACTTATTTACTTCTATCTTTGGAACACAATCTTCTCTCTGTTGGGCAAATTGTTGATCTTAGTTAACATATATGATTTTTCGATTTTGATTATTTTTACCCTTTTTTAGACTTTTAAAATTATTCATAATAGGATTGAAAAAACTTTTAATATTTTCTATTAAAGTAAAAATTGAACTAAATAACTTAAAAACTAACTTACACCAAATCGATTAGTTCAATTTTGCCCGTTTAACTAGTTTATATTTAGCACTAACTACTAAATTCCACTCGAATATGAGTAGGACTGAGTAAATGGTCGGTTTAGTTCAAACTGAATCGAATTGAGGTAATAAAATACAAATCAAACTTTTACAACAAACCAAAACGAACCTAAATTGGTATTTGATGAATCAAATCGATTCGAACCGAATTCAATATATTTTGATCGGTTCTTATCATTTTGGTATGAAGCCCAACCGATAAATTTTTATGCTAGCAATTCGAACAGAACAAGAAATTTGGTTCAAAGAACCACTTAATTGAACCTTTCTTAAACACCTGAACGAACCGAACCAAAATGTTTGCGGACCCCTAAATGTGAGACTTAAAAATTGACCATGAAAAACTGTGATTGTGTGAAAGATTAAATTAACGACGAAACAAGCTACAAATGACAAATTTATATCGTATTAATTAAGTAATATGCATTTTTGTATATTCTCCGTACGTGGAAGACATTAAGTAACCAAATAACCGCCTATCTTCCATTTCAAGGGGGCAGAAATTTCCTTAATCCATTTACGTTGCTATCAAATATATATACAAGTGGCTGTCAAATAAAAGGAAATATTGATTTTATGTGTATGCACTTTAGAGGTCTCCTATTAACTATTATCACAGTATACAGGTAATAATGGCTTGGGAAGACCACGGCACTCCAAGTTTTCTCGAAGTTTAAATTTTTATATACTTCTCAAAAAAAAAAAAAAAATCATTTTCCGCCATAATTTTGTAATATATAGATTTATATATTACAAAAATAATCATTTTTACTCGTATCTTTAAAATTATTATTATGAGACACCAAAATTTAAAAGTTTTTCATATTTTCTCACAATTTAAATTTTTTTATCATATTTAATTCCTCAGTTTTTATTTTTAAGACTAATAATCTATTTTTAGTGTTGGATTTTGTAGAATAAATTGATAGCAAAGGCGATGGTCTATTCATTTTTCGATAAAAAGAAATAACGTTTGAACCATTTGAGTAATAAATAAATTGTAAAGTATAATATCTTCATCAAAATTTTGAGCTTTGCTTTCCACCTTTAAAAAAAAGAAAATTATCATTTTATCCTTATAGTTCACTATAAAATATAACATTGCACCTATATTTTTAGAAATGCATAATTTTGTCCGTCATTCTATTAGACTGTTATATCCTTCTATCAATTTTTTATACTTTTTATTAATAAATAATTATTTCATCCTTATATTTATCAAAATTAAGTACTCAATTCTTGTATTTATTTTTTTTTTTGATTTTAAATATCCAGTATCCGAAACTCACAGGCCCAACTAATCCGGATTCATGCCAGACAGGCCCATAAAAGGAAGCAAAGTACTCCCTCTCAATATTTAAAGGGACTTTATACCCAAGAATCAAACACGAGAACTCTGATTAAGGGAGAAGAAATCATGTCATCTCGTCTCACCCCTAGGGTTAATTCTTGTATTTATTAACTATTTTGTCTTTATATTTTGTTAGAATTAATAATATGTCCATGTATTTAACGGAAAAAGTATAAAAATTAGATAGAATGATATAACAGTGTGACAGAGACAAGATTATGTATTTTTAAAAATATAAGGGCAAAAAAATCAAGTATATTCTTGATAGAATATACGAATAAATAATAATTTTTCCAAAAAAAAAAAAAAGGGAAAAAAAGAAACATAGAATTAGCTATTCACATGGATTTCATGCTTTCATCTAGGCATGGCCACCGGTTCGGTTCTAACCGGAACCGAACCGTACTGTAGACGAATCGGAACCGGACCGAAATCGGCGGTTCATAATTATTAAATTCCGCACGATTGCCTATACCTAGGTTGGATTTAATTGAAAATACTTTGACTAAAAAGATCACATTTATTCTGACACTGAATTTCAATTATATATCTTTAATTTTATTCTGAAATTAATAATTATTTTCCCACCTTTTCGAACCTTTCATTTCTTAATATAGTCAATAATGAATTTAAGGAAATTGTATTGTTGCAGTTCTTGTTTTGAATTTGTTATAAATTTATTAGTTTGATTATTTATCCAACGATCTTCTTTACCAAATTACTCCCAAGAATCAATAAGGCAGGGAAATATCTTGTCATCTACAGAGACCAACAACAACAATGTCTGATCGATTGAAGCATCGGAAGAAAACCCAATAGTAACTTTACTACACCGGATTCCGATTTCAGACCTAGATACCTAGTCCATCATAGTCCACCTAGAGTCCTATCTTTTCACGAGGGGCCCCCTAATTGTTATTCATAGGGATATGTCAAATTTACTTCTTCCTTTCTCAATATTTATTTAAATGGGTGTACCTTATATTTTATATCCATCTCAAAGATTCCTTCAATTCAATTTAACTTTGTAAATTCAAGTAAAAGCTATAGTAATCCTTTGGACAAGTAACTTCTTTGGGTACAACTATAAAGTTGTGTGTCTGTAAAAGGAATCAATAAATAAAGCAGATCAGTTTTTAACGTTACTATCGCAATCAAATGCTTTATACTCTCTCTCTA